GAGAGGGGCGGGGGCAGCAGAGCTCATTAGCATTTAAAGCAACATGGACTGGAACAGCGTGCTGAAAACAGAGCTGATTTTGACAGGGTAAAAAGGGTGTTTTTTACACTACCATTGAGAAATTATCCAAAGTATGTTCTAGACTTTTCATTAAGACCCTAAAGAATAATATCAACTTGTGGAAAATGTGCATCCTATGACCCCTTTAAGCATCGTAAGCTATGCCATTTGTGGAGCAATTTCTATACTGTGCAATTTTTCTTGTTTTACTATGAACATACTATTTGCGGAAATCCATTAAGTCTGAATAGCACTGGCTCCAGGGTGTGTTTGTACTGTCTGAGGTTTAATCTGAAGCAGTGGGGGATTTCTCAAGATGGAGGACTAAGCCCTTCACAGAGAGCTTGACTCAATACTGAAAACATCCAGTTCCCCTGATTAAACAGGACACTGGTGACTCACACGCTCTCTCTCACTGGCAGAGCGCAGTGTCAAACACTGCAATGCTAGTGACACTGTCACACAGTAGAACCAGCCCTTGTCACGGCCCTGCTAATGACCGTATGTGTGTGTGTGTGTGTGTGTGTGTGTGTGTGTGTCTTTGAGCATCTGACCTACTTTTTCCTGTCACCCTTTTTCTGATTCTAATGAAGCTTTTCCTTGGGACAATGCTCTCAAACACAGCCGTTCTGAATGAAAGACCAGGAAAGGGAAATGTTCTGCAGAACACACTAGAAACACAAACAAACAAATGCTTTCAGTAGATCTGCACATCTTAAGACGACCTGAGCTTTACTCTTATTCATTACCAACCTGCCTCATTGATCCAGATCCAAATCCGGCCCACTGAATCAAGACAAACAGAGGTGATGTCATACAACAGGAATGCTGTCACTAGGTGAGACGAATCTGGGTGAGGAATTTTTTCCATACTCATTGATTAATTACACTTCTGCTATATTTCAGTATTAGTGTTAACCAGAGGGAATACAAAACAAAAAAAAAGTATGAGCATAAAATAAAAACTGTATTTTCTGAATCAGTGATCCACCAATTTAAATATTTTTTTCAGCCAAAATAGTTTCGGAAGGCCACTGTCACTTCTCCAATGACATGTTTTGTCTGAGTCAGCATTTCTTTCGGAAATATGAAAGCACTGTGGACACACTAAAAATGATGCTAAAGCAGAAATGTCAAATTTAAAGGGGTCATATGATGCTGCTAAAAAAAACATTATTTTGTGTATTTGGTGTAATGAAATGTGTTTATGCGGTTTAAAGTTTAAAAAACACATTATTTTCCACATACTGTACATTATTGTTTCTCCGCTATGCCCCGCCTTTTTGAAACGCGTCGATTTTTACAAAGCTCATCGGTCTGAAAAGCGAGGTGTGCTGTGATTGGCCAGCTATCCAGTGCGTTGTGATTGGCCGAATACCTCAAGCGTGCGTCGGAAATGTTACGCCCCTCACCATACTGCTGATACCGTGTCCGGCCGGAGCGACGAGACAAAAACATTAAAACCCATTACAAACGAGGCATTTGTTGCATTGTCCATGGTGAAAGCCGATGCGGTGATCCACAGCACTAAGTTGATGCATTCCCTCAGCGACCAGCACAGATCAGCTCTAGGCATGACGAAGCGGATATCGTCCTCTTTTGGAAGACCAAACAAAGTAGTTTCGCTTTCACAACGACGCACACAGCGTCTTCACGACATGGCTGCAGCGGCAACAATACTACAGTGAGAATAAAAGTTACGCCTTCTTTCTTTGCGTGAACATTTGGGCGGTGTTATGCAAATCTTCCCACATAGTGAGGTAGATATGTGGGGGCATGTTAGAACGAGCCGTTTTAGGTAGGCGTGGTTAACTCTTAACTTTTATAAAGAATATCTCTTTGGATTTGAGACTTTAGTCTCTGCAACTTTACAGATCTTCTTTATGCACCAAGAGCTTGTAACACTCCAAAGAGAAAGGAAAAATTGAAATCGCATCATATGACCCCTTTAAGGCAGGGTCATTGCTGAGGAACTTCTACAAA